CCTCCCTGTTTTGCCACTCACACCACTGGTCCTGTAGGGCTCATCCGTCCTGGATTCCCTGTATTTTCAGTTCCTATCTGTACCAGTGTACCTGGGGACCTTTCTTCCTGCCAGTCCTTGTGTAGTTCTGATGCACATTGCTTAGAATGCTTGACGGGCTTCTCCGAGGAAACCCCGCAGAAGGATTCCAGGGGCCCCACAAAGGTTACATAGAAATGGCAGGAGTCATCGGGCAGCTTCCTTGAGCACCGGATTTTGCAGGTGTGCGGAATGCCCCGGCCCATCTTTACTACTTTCCCCCTGAGTGGACACAGTGTGACGCTCTCTGGTTCACCATCTTCACTGGGGAGTGGACGAGGCCTGAGAAGGGGTGGCATTCACCCAGCTCCATGTGGCGAGCTCTGACTTACCCAGGGGGCACACATGTGGAGAGGGCACACATGTGGAGAGGACTGGGCAGTCGGGTTAGAAAGTCAAGGGTGCAAAGTTAAGTTAAAAGATGACCCACAGTGCACGCTTCACTGTCCAAGGCTAGTCTAGAACAGAGAGTAGTCGCTGTGTGCTGTACGTCGTCTCAAAGCATAGAGCTGCCTCTTAGGATGTCCTACGCTGACATCTTTACAGGAGCAAATGGCCAGGTCATTTCTCCTGAGGAGCCCCTGGGGAGTTTGAACCAATGACCTTGTGGTTAGCAGCCCAATGTGGAACCATCGCATCTCATCTCCAGGGCTCCTTCTGGATCCTAGTTCATGCCGTTCCTGTTGAGCCTCAGATTCCTGTCCATTACCTCCTGGGAGGCTGTCTGAAGTATAATTTAAAAGCTGCCTCCCTCCCCACCCCTGCTCCCCGACCCGGGTATGGACAGTGTCATTTTTCAGCAAATAGATCAAATAATGGACTAAAAGCGACATTCACCCTGAAAAGGTCTGTTTTCCGGTGGTCGGCTTCGATCTGCACATTAACCAAGCCTCTCGGGGACAGAGAAAAAGCCCAGCACTGACCAGAGGACACACACACGCACCAGCAAACACATGCAGACGGACGCACGGTGGGAAGGGAAGGGAACGCAGTGAGAGGAGGCGTGCTGGATTGTGGGGACCCTGGACAGTGTTTCTGTTAAATCATTTGCACACTGTTAAATGATTTACTTTCTGATGGGACCTGGTAATCCCAGCACTGCAATTCCATGCATTCCTCCACATCCCCAGCGCTGGCAGTGGATATCAATTACCGCGGTCATAAAGCTCTTTCAGCTAGTTAAGCGCAAAGAGTTATTGTCCCGATTCCTCCAGATGCTCATGTTCGCTCTCTGTGCTCTCACTTTGAAGGTGGTTCATTAGCACAAGTTGTTGTCCGTCTTTAAAACTCCTAGTGCAGAAGGTTCAGTGTTGGACTGCTACCAGTCAGCTGGTGAAACTCACCAGCCACTTGCAGGAGACAGGCAAGGCTGGCTAGTATCAGTAAAGTTTTCCCGTCTCAGAAACCCTACGGAGCAGTTCTCCTCTGCCCTCTATGGCCACCAAGAGTCGAAATGGATGACAGTAGTTTGGTTTGATTTGGCCTTTGAAATTCCTAGTCAGCAAGGCACCTGAACACCATCCCTCCCCAGGAGATAACAGCCTTCCTTGAATTCATTGCTTTAAATGACAAGGGCCACTGGTGGAGTCTCATCATACTAATTAGCAAATTCATGACTGTGTTAGTCTGGGTAACTAGAAAAACAAATTCATAGACACTCATGTGTATAAGAAAGAGCTTTATATATAAGAGCAATTGAATATTGAGAAGACATCCCAGCCTAGGCCAGATCAAGTCCATAAGTCAGGTATTAGCCCATATGTCCGGTACCAATCTATAAATCCTTCTTCAGGTTCACGAATCACATGCAATGATGTCAAATGCAGGAGGATCACAGGCCAGTGGGTGGAAAGTCTTGTGGGTCCAGTGGTGCTGGAAGCATCTCAGCATGGGGAGGGGGCTCCTGGTGGCTTCTGCAGCTCTGAGGCTCTGGCTGCTATCAGCCTGTCTCCATGTGGCTTGTCAACTGCAATGTCTCCCAGGGAGCGAGCCAAGAGAGGGTCTCCGGCCTCCAAGGAGGAATGCAGGAGTTCCCAGAATCCTCAGGGGATAACCATGCAACCACAGAGGCCTCATTGACTATGACCTGATGACAGACTAGACTCCACCCCTTCACTCTTAATCCTCCCAAATTGACAAGCGATTATATAACTACCACAATGACTCTGAGTTTGGTTAAGAGTTCAAGTGAAAAGTAAAGCTTTGGCTATAGATACTGTTCTGAGAATACGAGCATATTGGCTGTGACTGACTCCTTATTGGTCTGCTGGTAGAGAAGTAGGAGACTTGTTTTCAGCCCCATATGTGGTCCATGCCTCGATGGCCTGTGCCTGCAGGCAAGTCTCTGAGTGTGTTTGGACTTAGTGCTCAGGAAAAGAAGGGGCTGGGTTGGCTGCTCCCTAAGCCTCTAAGCTCTGGCTTTCTGTGGTCCAGGCAGTCATGACTGGTTCAAATGATCATTGACATGGGGGG